CTGAAGCCACATCTCTATCCCTTTTTATTATTTTGAAACAGGGTCTCATTAAGTTACTTACAGCCTCATTAAGTTGCTGAGGCTGACTTAGAACCTGAGATTCTTCTGCCTCAGCTTCCCAAGCTGCTGGGATTATAGGAATGTGCTACTACATCCAGCACCTAGCCCTTTAAAAAAACTTTTTTGTTCTTTAAATTTCTGCTTGATTGCCCAGGCTGACCTTGAACTTGTGCTACCCTTGCCTCAGCCTCCCTACTAGCTAGGCTTACATATATGCTATCCATGCCTGGCTATATCTATTGTTTCTTCTTAATAACATTTTTAATGTGAAAAATATAGAAATTTTTAAGAAAATATAGTCACTTTCTCCCTATGCTTTAACTCCTCCTCTTAGTGGCTTAAAATTATTCTTATATTAATTTATATTACATAGAAGCATATTAAAAATTAAATCTATAAGAAAGCTCTTTAAAAGAAATGAAAAGTATTAGCTGTTTCATGCTAGTTACTCCTCCATCTCCAGAGACTTAATTCATATGGGAGACTTAATTTACAAAATGTTTAGCCAACATTAAAACCAAGCATTTACAGCACAGAACTTTTCCTGATTTTTTTCATAGTTCTGAGGTGAAAAGGGCAGGCTGAAAGGAGCTGTCTCTCTTCAGTCCTGGTTCAGTGTTTGTTCTAGTTGGAAGATTTGCTACCCTGGAACTATTAATAGAATATTATGATTTGGATATAGTAATTGTAAGTGCCTTGTTGTGGCTTCTATGAGAACATTTCAAATGAGGACGAACTGTTTTGTTTCCATCTTCAACTGCTATTCTTTTTTTTATTTAATTTGGTATTAACGATTGAACCCAGGGTGCTTAATTACAGAGCCACATGCTCGGTCTTTTGTATATTTTATTTAGAGAAAAGGTCTCACTGAGATGATTAGGGCCTCACCAAGTTGCCAAGGTTCGCCTTGAACTCCCAATCCTCCTGACTCAGCCTACCAAGCTGCTGGGATTATAGGTGTGCCCTACCATACCTGGTTTAGCTGCTAATCTTCAGGTTGTTTTTTCATTTTGGCTCTTTCAGGGATAGAAGTCAAGGTCTTGCACATGTTTGGCAAGCACGCTACTAGTGATCTTTTAGGTCAGTTCTGAAAGCAAGCCTATTTGTGGGTTAAAAAAGAAATTGACTGGCCATGGGGACACATGCCTGTAATCACTGTGGCTCAAGAGGTTGAGTGAGGAGACGTGTAAGTTCAAACCAGCCTCAGCAAAAGTGAGGCACTGTCTCTAAATAAAAATACAAAATAGGGATGGGGATGTGGCTCAGTGGTCAAGTGCCTCTGTATCAAAAAAGAAAGAAATTGAATGATTACTACGAAATGAACATGCTTGAGTTGGTTGTGGTAGTGTACCCTATAATCCCAGTGACTTGGGATAGCAGTGACTTAGGATAGCAAGTTTGAGGCCAGCCTCATCAAATTAGCAAGGCCATTAGCAAGTGTATATAATTATCACTTCCCAAAATACTGATACAGCACTATATGATTCAACATGAAAGGTAGTTTCCTTATAAACTATTCTTATTTTTATTTACAGACTGGTGATTTGTAGCTTTCCTTAATTTTGTATGGGAGTAGTGGGGAGTGAACTTAGGGGTTCAGTTTAGTTTTACTCATCTTCAGCTTTTTTTTTTTTGAGACAGGGTCTTGCTAAGTTGCAGAGGCTGGCTTCAAACTTGACATCCTTCTGTCTTAGCTTCCCAAGTTGCTGGGATTATAGGCGTGTGCCACCATGCCCACTTTATAGCTTAATTTTAAGAAATTAATAATTTTGGTGCACCCACATGTTCATTCCATATTATATAATATGATTTTGTGTTTGAAAATGGATAAGCAGACTTATATACGCATGTAATTTTGTTGAATGATTATGAACTCGGTTTCGGAGCCATTTAGGAGAAAATAACTTTGCTTTCCCCTAAACAATGTTAATATAAATTGTATGGTGTTTGAGGCCTGAACTTAGTGTTTGTACTTATACATCTTAGGTAAAACTAAGGATAACAAGAAAATTTATACCACCTATCAAAATGGATAGCAATTTATCTATTTACTTTTCTTCTTTCTTTCTTAGGGACAGTCTCCCTCAATTCGCCAACTCATTATGCATGCAATGGCAGAATGGTACATGAGAGGGGAGCAGTATGACCAGGCCAAATTGTCTCGAATACTTGATGTGGCCCAGGACTTGAAGGTGATTTCAGAATGAAATTGATTTATTCATTAATGATTTAAAAAGCTATGGATTCTTAAGGAATAATTTATATGTAACTATGTCTTGGATAGAATGAGTTGATATAGAATTTTGCCTTTATATTCAAAGGGATATGAAAGAGTAAATGTTTTAGTAAATGTGTTCACTTATTTTTTTGTTTGTCCTCTGCATATTGCAAGGCTGTAAGCAAGTGGTAATTAAAGTTCTTTCATAAGTAATCCATGAAGTGTAATTTTGGAGAAACTATTTGTTTGTACTCTTTAAATTTATTAGAGTCAATAATATCTAAGAAATAGTCTGACTAAATATCATTACTCATTTGGTACATTAGTAAAGGGGATTTTGTTATGTTTATGTTAGTCTAAACCTGTATTTAGATTTTAAAAATGATTAAAGATTATTATTCAAGCTTTGAGTCTTACTTTGTTCTAGGTTTAATTATTTGTAAAAACACAGGGTAAAATTTATTTTGAAGGTAGAGTCATAAGTTGACCTTTCAGATATCTTATTTTAAGTTAAGACTGTTACCATTGAATTTATTAAATTGTGAACTCCCTTGTCTCACTGCCTTGCACGGTGACCAGGGAAATATTAGCAGTATGTTCTATTTAGACTTGTGTGCAAAAAGCAGAAAATAGAAAGTAGGCTACAGGAATAATTACTTATTGCTTGGCTTAGCATTTCTATTATTCTTTTTTCTTTAGGCCTTGTCTATGCTGCTAAATGGTACTCCATTTGCCTTTGTTATTGACCTTGCTGCACTAGCTTCACGTCGTGAATACCTCAAACTTGACAAGTGGCTCACAGATAAAATTCGGGAACATGGGGTAAGCAGGTTTTATGCATTTATTTCTTCTTTGAAATTTGGTGACTAAAATGGCTAAAGAAACAAGATTTCTTTTTGTTTTTTAAGCGGTGGTAGGAATTGAACCCATGTCCTGGTGCAGGCTAGGCAAGTGAGTGCTCTACTAGTGAGCTACTTGTCTGACTCCAAGAATCAGCTTTATAAGATGGCAACTAAAATGTCATTTATTCTAGATTTTAGTCATATCTCTTAATTATTGTTAATGTGAAAGAAATAAGATCAATTTTAAATAAACTGAGAAACATTTCTGTTTTTAGGAGCCTTTTATTCAAGCATGCATGACTTTTTTAAAAAGACGGTGCCCTTCTATTTTGGGTGGACTTGCCCCAGAGAAAGACCAGCCCAAAAGTGCTCAACTTCCTCCTGAAACTCTGGCAACAATGTTGGCTTGTCTACAGGCTTGTGCGGGGTAAGGAGAATGTTCTAGAAAATGGATCTTTTATTCTTGAATTGGATTATATTGATTAGGGTTGATTTGGGGTAGGGGAGATTGAATAAAATGACTGCATTTAAAAATAATTCAGTGATTTTTAAGTCCAAGTTAGTTTACTGTTTGCAGTGTATATTATTAATTGTGTTAATTTTTTGAATGTATTATGAGATAGGGGTCCACATTCATTTTTTTGCACATGGGATATTCAGTTATGCCTGCACCATTTTTTGAAAATACCAATAACTTTGTGGTGTCTTTATCTCATACATGTGTTGCCTTTGATATGCTAGTATTAAAATTGCTTGTCTGTTTGCTTTGCTATATCTTGGTTTGGATGTATTTTTGACAGAATGAAGATATGCCAGTGTTCAGAACATTCTAGTAATGAATGAGATACAAAGAAGTGGGGGTATGATAGAAATTTAGCCATGTGCTCAAAGAATGCACACCTCTCCAACCCCTGCTAGGGATTATTGAACTTTGGTCTTGAGTCTCAAATGCTCAGCAAGACCTCTACCACTGATCTGTATCCATAGCCCCACATTTTGATTTAAAAACCAGATTGGTTTGTTGAGGTGTTGTTTTGGACAGTAGCAGGTATGTTTTTCATTGTTCTTAGGAGTGTTTCTCAGGAATTATCAGAGACCATCCTCACCATGGTAGCCAATTGCAGTAATGTTATGAATAAGGCCCGACAGCCACCACCTGGAGTTATGCCAAAAGGACGCCCTCCTAGTGCTAGCAGCTTAGATGCCATTTCTCCTGTTCAGGTAAACTAATGCTAATGTGTCTACATTTGTTAGTAGGCATAGACTAAAATAAGTTTCTATAGCTTCCTTAATAATTTATTGCTGGGTAAGGTAATGTTGAGGCAGGGGGATCACAAGTTTGAGGCCAGCCTGGGCAGCGTAGTCAGACGTAGTCATGTTTCAGGCCTGGGAATGTAGCACTGTGGTAGAGTAAGCACCCTTGGGTTTGATTCCTAGTACTACTTTCACCACAAAAAGTTACTACATTTTATTTTTAAAAAATTGTTTGTTTTGAAAGTGGGAATTTGCATTGGGCTAAACCCCCGGCACCTCCACCCTTTTTGTGATATTCTTGTTGATTTGCTTAATTTGATCTTCACTAAATTACTTAGGATATTCCCCAACTTGTGATCCCTCTTGCCTCAGCCTCCTGAGTCCCTGAGATTATAGGCACATGCCGTGGCACCCAATCTTTCATTTTAGACATTATGTAAATTATCTGCACATATTAATAGTATCTGTGTATATTTTAAAGAAGATCCATGAGTAAGTATGGTAGTTGAAAATAGATTTTCATCATCAATAGAACATGATTCTGACAGGAAAGAGACAAAGCCACTTAAATAGTTAAATGAAAAGGATTTCTTTTTAAAAATGAGAACTACTTATATTCTTGAAGTAAGCACTGCCTGTGAACCTGATGTGTCTTCTTGGGTGTCATGGGCCAAGTAAAATGCTAGAGCCTAGCAACTTGTGATAACTAGGGCTCTTCAGCTCTCAATTGAACTGCTCCTTTAAAAACAAGGTACATTTAAGTTCAGTTCTCTGCCATCAACTACCCTGTTCCTTTTGGGAGCTTCTTATTCTGTTTGTTTCCGGTGGCATTGAATGGCAGATTGGGGTACTTATGAAATTACTTATTGGGGTACTTAAGAAAAAGGTACTTATGATTCTTCAGTTGTTACTTTATAGAGGAATTTATTTCATTGTTCATAGTAATAAAGGTACAAAGGAGTGTCATAAGCTAGGAAGAATTCAAGTTTTGGTTTTAATTATCTTTAAAAAATATTTTGGTTGGATAGCATACCTTGTTTTTTTGTTAGTTTGGTATTAAAGTTAGAGCTAAACTTCCCCAACCCTAAAATTCTTTTCCCCCCATGTTTTTTTCAATTGGTGCATTATGTTTGTATATAAGGGTAGGATTTGTTTTTACATATTCATACATGTATATGATATAACAATATAATTTGATATATTCCAACACTGAAGATTCTTAAGATTTTAACTATGTTTTGGCTGGAAGATTTATTGCTAATTTCTAATGGTTTTAGTGTATTGAAAGTCAAATAATTTGCTTGATAGATTGTTTTAAAGTAGCTTACTGGAATTTGCAGTGATAATAAGTGCACCAAGTCATTACTAAATAATTTGTTGTATAGCAGTGGGTTAATTTATCTTTTTTGTTGTTATTATTTTTATTTTTTTAATTTTTGTTTTTGACCTTCTAAGTTTGGTCTATTTCACTTAATATATGGTATCAAATTCCAAACATTTTCAAATGACTTAATATTTTTTTTTTAGTTATTGATGTTTATTTTATTCATTTATGTATATATGGTGCTGACAATTGAACCCAGTGCCTCACACATGCTAGACATGGGCTCTACCACTGAGCTACAACCCCATCCCTGTTGTTGTCCTTGAAAGTATGATAGCCTTGTTCTGTGGCTTTGGTATATTTGGGTAGGGACTAACTCTTTAAACCTATTCTTTATACATAGAGAGTTTAAAATGACTCATTTGAACAAGGTGGTGTATGCATATAATCTGAGTGAGTGAGGGAGGCTGAGGAGTATCACAGGATTGAGGCCAGCCTCTGGAACTTAGCAAGATCCTGTCTCAAAAAACAAAAACAACAAAAAAGGGCTAGGGATGTTTATTGGTAGAGTCTCTGGATTCAATCCCCAATTGGGGATTGGTGGTAGAATATAAAGAGCTATTGTTAACAATTGCTTTACCCATGTCATGTCTGCCTTTCCTTGAAATACGTTTAATACACTTTTATGATGTTTTTCCTTAGATTGACCCTCTTGCTGGAATGGCATCTCTTAGTATAGGTGGTTCAGCTGCCCCTCACACCCAGAGTATGCAGGGCTTTCCTCCAAATTTGGGTTCTGCATTCAGTACCCCTCAGTCACCAGCAAAAGCATTTCCACCTCTTTCAACCCCAAATCAAACAACAGCGTTCAGTGGTATTGGAGGACTTTCATCACAGCTTCCAGGTAAGGGGGAGTTGGGCATGTGCACAGATTATTTATAAATTTCATTGTGTCTTTGTGTATGGTTAAGGGGTTTTGGAGTGACTGGAATGATCTACTTAATTGAAATTGTTAAAGCTGCTTCAGTGTCCCAAACTGGGAAGAGAAAAGCATACTATTTACTATTACATTCAATTCGATCTACCTGGAATGAAGAATTAGGTTATTTATACTTATAAAGTTAATTGAGCTATTCAGTAAGGATTCTGTGTTACCAAACACCAGTATGTATAATGTGTTGATCACATTGTTTAGATTTTGTTTGTTATTTTTTGATGTTGACGATTGAACCCAGGCCCTCCCATATGCTAATCAATATGAGTTTTGCCCCTAAATCATATCCCTCATCCATATCACAGATTTTAGAACTCCTAGCTTTATGTATCTCTCCAATTGGTGTAATTATGGTGGAAATTTTTGTGTTTACGTATAAGATTCAAGTCTCTGCTCTTCCTGCCTCCTTATAATTCACCAGCCTTCAAATGATAATAAAACCGTAAAAGTTTTTTTTTAAATATTTTTTCAAGTTGTAGATGGACAAAATACATTTAGATTGATGGTGCTGAGGGTCAAACCCAGTGCTTCCCATGTGCTAGGGGAGCAATTTACCACTGAGCCATAAACTCAGCCCTACTTAGAACTTTGTCAGATATTCACTTTGTAACTTTACATTGAAGTAAAGGCTACTTTTTTTTTTTTTTGGCTTGTACCTACTTCTCTTGAGCTACAATGTTCAGGCTGTAAGATATGGTACTAAAAGTTAAGGAAGATATATTTATTACTCTTGTAACATTGTTAATAGTGCTGCCATATGGTTCTAGATCTGATGGTTCACTATTTTATCCTATTGTCCTTGATGTAGGATACCTATAAAAAGCTAAATATAGTATATAACACATTTTGTATTATGAGATTGAATATAATTATGGTATTATTATTACTACTACTACTTATATATTATTGGCTCAGAGGCTCACACATTCTAGGCAAGTGCTCCCATTGAACTATACTCCCAACCCTTTTATTTTTTGTTTTAAAATAGGGTTGCTCAGTTGTCATCCTCAGCTAGCGGAGTAACTAGAATTACAGTTGTGCATTACCACACCTATGCCAGCTGCTTTTATTTTGAGTACCTTGAATAGTTTTAAATTTGCATAGTCAAAAATAAAAATGAATTAATAAAACGTTAAAAATTTTAAGCATTGTCTATTTTTGTCCCCTCTTATAGTTTTTTTTTTTTTTTTTTTTTTTTTGGTGGGGGGTGGTTGCTGGGGATTGAACCCTAAGGATGCTGATCCTTTGCTCTTTTTTTTGTTGTTGTTTTATTTTGAAAAGGGTGTCTCATTATGTTGCTTAGGGCCTTGCTAAATTGCTGAAGCTGGTATTGAGCTCACATCCTCCTTCCTCAGCCTCCGGAATTAGAGTTGCTGGGATTACAGGTGTGCACCACCATGCCTAGCTTAGTTAGATTTCAATAAAATTTAGATGTCTATAGAGAATCAACAATCTAACTTTTAAAAAATGAGAAGCTACATCTAAGTTGTGAATAGATTCAAGAACCCGAGTAATGATAGAAATTCTGGCTGCCTTCATTTTCTCTAGTAGGTGGTCTTGGCACAGGCAGCCTGACTGGTATAGGAACCGGGGCTCTTGGACTCCCTGCAGTGAATAATGACCCTTTTGTACAGAGAAAACTGGGCACCTCTGGACTGAACCAGCCTACATTCCAGCAGAGTAAGATGAAACCTTGTAAGTGGTAGTGTTGTCTGTGATTGTGAAGTGTGATTGAGGTACATAAGAAATTTTATTGTGTGTCTGCTTTGTTGTCCCTAGTGTTGTATGAACAAAAACATTGATTTATATAATATATTGTTAGTAGAGCCATATATTGGTGTGCATCCTAGAACAATGAGAATAAATTCACAAATATGAATTATTGAAGTAAAAATTTGAGATACCACTCTACCTTTGTTTTGGATTGCCAGAGCAAAGGTAAGAGGTTCCATCTTCAGGGTGTTATTCTAAAGAGGAGGTATGGTGTTAAAAAAAGGAAAAAAAAAGTTCTTTCTTTTTTTAAAAAAATATTTTTATTAATTATTGATAGACCTTTATTTATTTAATTGCTCATATGTGGTGCTGCGAATCAAACACAGTGCTTCTCACATGCTTGGCAAGTGTTCTACCATTGAGCCACAACCCCAGCCCAAGAGAAAAGTTCTTTAACCAAAAAATTTTCTGGTATTGATTTTTGACAGCCAGAAAAATGTCCTGTTTTTTTCAGTTTGCCAAGTTTATAAAGCAAAGCCCTCAAACTCATGATCTCCTTCCTATCCTTCTTAATAGCTGAGTTTTATAGGTTTCTATAACTGTTCCAAGCCAAACTTTTCTAATATAAGGAGCAGTAATTTTCATTTATCAATCAAGAAGTGCCAGGTCTCAAAATTACATGTTAATAAATCTTGTAACGACTATATATAAAGTCAAAGAGTAAGAATTGAAAACAGTTGAATTCAATGCAGTTATCAATAATTGGTAGGAAAATGATGAGATGGAAAGGTGTATTTATCAACTTTATGTTGCTTGACCAAAAATAAAATACATAACAATATTTAACTTATTAAAGTACATTATAATATTTAACTTATTTTAAGATTATAGATTTATAATACATATATACTTTATTTTTCATAAACAGTGCTATAAAATGTGTATAATTTACAGCCAGTTGTCAGTTTCACCTCCTTAGTAATAATACAAGTCAGAAGTTATCTTTATAATCCCATAAGTCTAATTGACCCTTGTCTTTCTTTTCATTGGCAATAAATATTTGTGATAATAAAGATTAAGACTTGCAAATGTTAGTGTGAAAGCCTTGTCTGAATGTTATGTTTTGTAGCATGCTGTGTGTTAATAGCAGGGTGTTATGCACTCGGATTGCTTATTCTAATATGCTAGAAGATTTTTATTATAAAGTAGTAAGAATTACTAACCTCAAGTGGATTATATTAAGGGTAAGTGTTAGGAGTTTGAGCCTAGTGAACTTTTCATGTCCTGAAGAAAGTTATTGAAGTAGTACTATGCAAGATAATTAATTGAGAGTCTTTTCTGTGTACCTAAAACACCTTAATATTTAAACTTGACCATATAATTCTTTGTGCATTTTCTTTGTATCCCCTCCACCCACCCCACCTCTCGTCCCCCTGCCCCCAATAAAGTTAGAACTGTGTTAGTCTTTCTGGCTATTTGTATTTTATGGGGAGTTGAGAAATTACTTAAATGCTTTTTTGTTTCTAACAGCGGACTTGTCTCAGGTATGGCCAGAGGCAAATCAGCACTTTAGTAAAGAGATAGATGATGAAGCAAACAGCTATTTCCAGCGAATATATAATCACCCACCACATCCAACCATGTCAGTTGATGAGGTGAGTATTTAAGAGGACCTAATTATGAATTGTACAGACAAATCTTGAAGAAGTGACCCTTTCAAGCTTTTTA